TCACATGAAAATCACATATGTATTTTTGTGAGTGTTTTTGCATCAATCATTTTTTTTAATTTTCTTGTAGACTTGGAAGAAATTGTGGTGAATATTGAAGAGGTGGAAAATGATAAATTGAAGAAAATAAGGAAATATTGACACGAAGACATGAAAACACTTTGAAATTTGTAGCATTTTTTATTTTTTATATTTTATTTTGTATCGAATAAAATACTTGTACTATTATGTTTATAGATTAATTAATAAAAATGAGATTTTTTGTGATTTACTTACAAATATTATAGTATAAGAAATATACATATATGCATTTGAAAAAAATATGCATATATGCACCTAAAAATTTACTTTTTAAAAAAAATACAGTTTTTTTTTTTGAAAAAATTACAGTTTTTTTTTTCAAATACAATTTTTTTTTGAAAAAAATGTAACTTTCTTTAAAAAAACTTGCAGTTTTTTTGAAAAAATTGCAGTTTTTTTTAAATACAGTTTTTTTTTAAAATATGCAATTTTTTTTTGAAAAAAATACAGTTTTCTTTAAAAAAAGTTGCAGTTATTTTAACAAAAATACAGTTTTTTTAAATGACAGTTTTTTGAAAAAATTGCAATTTAAAAAAAAATATATTTTTTCAACTTTTTTTCAAAAATTCATGTTTTCTATAAAAAATTAAAAAATCTGCATTTTCTTTAAAAAAAAACGAAAAATACTATATTTAAAAAAATCTGAAAATTTGATTTATGATGTAAATTTTTAGACATTTATATTAATATATTAAATAACACAAAAAAATTAAACATTAAATGAGATTGGTAAGATAACGATCATGTCCTTAATGAATTACTTTTGATCCAACGCTCCACTTTTAGTTCTCGGGAAATTATGAGTTCTCAACCGATCTCATCTATATATATATATATATATATATATATATATATATATATATATATATATATATTAAGTTATTAAGTAATCAAAAACAAAATTAATAATAAATAATAGTATAAAACCATAACCATTAAGTAATATATATATATATATATATATATATATATATATATATATATATATATATATATATATATTAAAAAATTCAAAGTTAGGAATAGTTAACTTGGACATTTTTTGTCAACTTTGCCCTTCATTCTTTAGCCATTTTGACACTTTTGGTCATTGCAATGAAAATTTTTACATTTTTTTAGGAACCTTTTAATATTCAAAGTTTGGCCACAAAACTTTATGGAATTGACAACTTTGGTCCATTTTCTAAAAATTTGCTAATTGTAACCCCTTTAATTCTTTAGCCATTTTGACACTTTTGGTCATTGTAGTCAAAACTTTTACATTTTTTTTATAAAAAACACAAAAAATGGTCTGGGACAACGCCCGAGTTTTTCTGCTAAAAGAGTCAACAACGAGTTAGGAATAGTGAAACTCACGTTTTTTTTACTGTTTTCATCCTTGCACTTTCTGTGTCTGTCATTTTCTTCTTTTTGTATATTTTTTGTATATTGGTCCTCATTTTTAACTTTTTTGTTTTTTTTCCTGCCTTCTATCTATCCGTCTCCGACTGTTTATCCATATGAAAATAAACTTAAGTTAACTAAAAGAGTCAACAACGACGCCTATTAATCTATAAACAAAAACGATACTCAAATCACGCACACGGCCCATGCGGAGCATGGACAACATATCTAGTTAAAATTATAAATGTTGTAAGATCGATTGATTAGATTAGTTTAGAAATTCAAGTATTAAAAACGGAAATCTCCAGATGTAACACCCGTAGATCCGGGCTAGTCAATTTAGAGATAATAGGGGTCGAAAACGACTTTTTAACAAAAGATTATTTAGAACCAAGTTGTAGAATACGTCTTAAGGGTTCCGTACATATAAAGAACGTTGAAATCCGAGTTATAACGAAGAAGTTATGGTCCGTCGAAGTTTTACGGCAAAACCGGCACGACACCGGGAGACGTAAATAGTGAATTTACGATGGAAGACTTTTTAGCCTTAGAAATCTAAACAAAAGTTGTAGTATACGTAAACCGAGAACATACAAAAAACGAACGCCCAAATCTGACTTCGTATGAGGAAGTTATGAATTTTTTTAAGATTTGGCTTAACAGTGCACAGCTCGAAACTCGAATTTTAGATCGAGCGGTTTTTGGCCTACGCGACCTAAATGAGAATTGAAAATCTCATTAACATGAACTCAACGGTGAAAAGACAGACGAAAACAGAGTCCGTATGTAGAAGTTATGAATTTTACGCGGACATTTAACAGTATAATCTCCTCGTACTTTTAAATTTAAGATCGGTCGAGAATTAGCCGACGGAGTCAAAATGAAAGTTGTAGATCTTATTTTTACCTACGCGTGGATATAAAGAACGTCAAAAACGGAGGTCGTATGTGAAAGTTACGGATTTTAGAAGTCGGAAGTGTGTTGTGCGAAATTGGGTGATGTGACACAATCTTGGTCATTGCTTTCTCCCCAAGTCTTGCCACTTGATGGTGACATGTGGCACCAAGTTCATCATTTTTTCACCTTATAAATAGAACCTCTTCCACCCTCATTTTCTTCACATCTTTCCCATTCTTTCTTCTCTTTACTCTCTCTCTCTCTCTCTCTAGAACCTCTCTCTAGCCCCGAAACCCCCCGAAAAGCCTAGGGAACCTCCCTAGCACGAGGCGGAAGTCCCGGAGTGCTCGACGGCTCCGAGAAGAAGAGCTTTTCGGCTCGGGAACGCTGCTCCAAGCAAAGCCCGGTTTTCTATAAAACCCGCTGTAAGTGAGCTACACCTACGCTATTTTTAATATAGCTTTTATTTAATTATAGTAACGTTATTAGGAACTTATAATAAGTACTTGGGCTATTATTATGGGTTATATAAGTATTTTTTTACGCTTATATAATAGTAATAATAGCTAGACTATTAATTAGTCTCGGCGAATAATATACTAAACTCTAGTGGTAATAATACTAGGTTTCGTCGAAGGAAATTATTTTTAAGAAGCGAAGCGCTGTCTGAGTTCGGAATCACCACCTTTTCAAGTGAGTGCATGGTCCCTTTCATCTTACACATAGATATGAAGTATTTAATATAAATTACGTGCTATGTGTGCATATTGTCTGAATACTTGCTGTCTATGCTGTGTGAAATATTTTTATACACGTTTTAAATGATTTAAATTGTATATGTATTTTATATCTACAAAACGTGTTGGGTAAAACATGGGTAGATGTAATAGTTATTGTGTGACCAAATAAAATAATGAGAGGCCTCGATATAAATGTTATTGATGATCCAGTCATCTAGCGGAGTATAGATGATGACCACAGACTATTCTAGACAGTCCAGTGGAACGCTAGCAGGCTCGCAACCTGTAGGTGTTTATTTGAACTGTGTGCTCACCAGCAGTACTCCATCCCCCACATGGTTGCCTTATTTGACATGAATTGCTGAGGAACCCCCGAAGCATGTGTTGTCACCCCGATGAAAGTCCCTTAGACTAGGTCCCTTGTGTTAGATGTTTTAGGGACGTAAAGTGAGGATAACGGGAACGGGTAATCGGGTTTGTTTGGTTTGATAAAGTTAATAAACTTATTCATTGTGGGTTGAAAACCCTATGTACTCACCAGGTTTCCCAACCCGACCCACTCAGTTTATTTATATCACAGGTGTTGATATGAAGTCACATTACACTGAGAGATTAAGGAGATATAAATCACTAGTGATAATGAATGTAAGTTCTGTTTATGCTTATGTTTCTGTATTGACGATGACATCCCAAATGTTTTAAAATGAATAAAAATACTTTTCTTCAGAAATGCTTTGATAACGTATCTATCATGTTATACTGGGAACAAATTCCGCAACATTTTTATTAAAAGAGGTACTCTGATTTTTATAAAGCATAAACAAAATCGGTCTTTTCTGGCCGTGAAAATGGGGATGTCACACCAGAAAAGTCTTAAAATTTTACCTTAATTTATGAAAAAGTCGCAAACTAAATTTTGTTTACGAAAAAGCATGAATTACCGGTAAAAATGGCGATTTGACCACTTTTTCTCGGTTTACCGGTTTCATTACTTACCCGTTTCATTAAAGTCCCATTATTTTATCCTAATTTACGAATAAGTCCTAAACTAAAATTTAGTGATGATTTGACCATTTTCTCTATGTAACATACATTTTATTGGTTTCATTGCTGACCCGGACGCCTAGTCATTAAATGAGATGATGAGATGGATATGTTGAGTTATATAATGCTATGTTTAGCATAAAACTTGATATCCTGATGTATTGTATATTCTTTTGGAACATAAAATGCATCCAACAAAAACTGGAATAATTACATAAACTAGTAACAACTGCGTTATTTTTATGTTTATAAGAAATATCAAATTGTCTATCTAATCTTATGTAACCCAATATATCCATCTCATGAGACACCAACTCATTTTCTGCCATTTTTTCTTGAAAACACGCATTTTATTGGTTTCATTGCTGCCCAAGATACATAGTCATAAATGAGCCGATGAGATGAATATCAAATTTTACAGTAAATGTAGCATTATATAACCCATCGTATCCATCTTATCAGCTAATTTAATGATTATGTGTCTAAGTCAGTTGTTACATGAAGAAAATGGTCAAATCATCACAAAATTTTAGTTTGAGACTTATTCGCAAATTAGGGTAAAATAATGAGACTTTAGTGAAACTGGTAAGTAATGAAACCAGTAAACCGGAAAAAAGGATTAAATCGTTATTTTTACCGGTAATTCATGTTTTTTCGTAAACAAATTTTAGTTTTGGATTTTTTCGTAGATTAAGGTAAAATTTTAAGACTTTTTTTAGTCATTTTTCTGTTAAAACCCAAAGGAGGTTTTTTTTTAGGAGCACCCTTTTAGTCTCTAGTTTAATTTGAAGGTCGGTAACACAAATTATTGATTTTCCGAGTTCCGGCGTACAGGGCGGTTCAGGTGGTGGTAGTATGAAACCCTCGGATGAGACAATCGACGGTTCTTCACATAATGTGGAAACAATTTCATCATCAGTGTTTGATAAGCTCACTGACGAGCTCTTAATCGAAACCCTAATACGTCTCCCTCTAAAGCCAGCCAATATCTGCAAATGCATCTCAGTACGTTTTCGTTCTTTGATTTCAAGTTCAAATTTCGTTCGCTGTTATTTGAATCATCATCAAATCAACGATTCGTTTGCTCTTTATTATGATTTGGATGGAAAGCGTAAGATTCGTCCTTCCTCGGTAGGGATGTGTATGGCGTTTGAATCCCCCATTTTTGAATCTCCAGGGTTTTCTTTATCTTTCCTTCAAGAAACTATACATTACCTAGCTTCAAACAACGGATTAGTTTTGTGTTGTGCTGATCTATGTCCTCCGGTTGTTTACTTTGTTTGTAATCCGTTAACGAAGCAATGGATTACTCTACCACCACCTCCTACTGATGTTAAAGCCAGTTACATCGGGTTTATATGCAATCCCCAGTATTCATGTAATGATAATCAAGAACAAAGAAGGACAACGAGTTTTAAGGTGGTTCGTATTCAAGTGGCGCTAAGAGATACATTGAGTCTGGAAATATTCTGTTCGGAGTCAGGGAGGTGGACTAACGAGAACTACATGTCGAGTTCAACTTCGGTTAATGAACTCTTCTATAGATGTAATTTCGGGTATCCCAGTGCTGTAGTTTGTGGAGGATTGCTTCATTGGGATAATCTTTCAAAGACTGATATTTTCACTTATGATCCTTATAGTGGAATATGTGGAACTATCAAGTATCCACCAGGGATAACAGAATCTAGCTCCGATTATTGCTTAGGAGAGTCTGCTGGTCGACTTAGATATGCAGACTATTGTAAGAGTAGTAAGACGTATCGAGTATGGCAACTCAAAGATTGCAGCAATGATGGTGGTGAGTGGTTTTTGTTGCATAAGGTTCACATCTTAGGGATGAAATCCACAGTTCAAACAGCTTACAAGGATCTCATAGGTCTGCTTCCTCCCCATCCACTTAATCAGGATATTGTTTTCTTTTGGTGTCTCTGCTCGTTTAAAATTTTGGAATACAACATGAGGACTAAGCTACTGAAGTTACCATGTTTTCCTCAAGATGCAAAGGTTAAATATTTGATGATCCCTGTTGTCTTCCCGTTTGTGCTTCCTTGCTGGCCTACCACAGTTCCTATAATTCAGCAGCATGGTGAAAGCTAGTAGATTTAACTTTCGGTACCCATTTCACTTATTTATTATTTTATATTTACAAGTCTATATATATATATATATATATATATATATATATATATATATATATATATATATATATATATATATATATGTTTCCACCTCTTATTGCAAAAGTTATATGAAATGCATGGTTCTATTTGAGTATTCCAATTGCAAGTTTTGTTATAGTGACATTGTTTGATTGTAACATTCGCAAATAAAAGACGCTTTTTTTTCCTTATGATGAGAAAATTCCATTTATTATATATTTTTACCAAGGTTTCGGGTGTAACTTTAGTTGATGGAGCTATTGAGATGTGACGGAGATTTCACAAGGGAAACATTGAGGTATGTTGAGTTTTTAAAGTACATTGCTATGTTTAGTACTTTGACCATAATTGAGATAACATAGCAACATACATGGGGATCCCATTAAAATGGGATAGGGGAGGTAGATTTCGTCAGTTGTGCCTCCATAGGAGGTAGGTGTGGTCATCACAACTTTATGCTCACTTTCATTTACTATCACCCTATTTTGTTTTTACTATCACTCTAGAAGACCTCCAACATCTGCACTAGAAACATGGAAAAACAAAATAGGGTGATAGTAAATGAAAGTGAGCATAAAGTTGTAATGGAAAATAACCCCCCCACCCCCCCAAAAAAAAGCATATGCCTCTGGAACCTGCAAATGAGGCGGTAGAGTAAGCATATGCCACTGCAGGCACCATACTAAAACCGCTATGTCCCCAAAAAGAGTAAATTTCTTCATGTCTAACCTCTTATTATTCTCCCACTTTTTTCTTTGATGTCCTCCTATTCTCTTACCATCAATCTCCAATGAGTCTACTCTCTTGACTGTAACTAATGGTAGTCTCATTTGGACATGCCCATACCACCTCAATCATCCTTCTCTCAACTTTTTGTAATTTGTGCCACTCCTAACGAGCTTCTTACAACCGTATTTAGTATCATATTCATCAAAGTTCTATTGCAAGTCCACCTCATCATCATCATCATCATTTCAACTACTTATATCTTCCTCTTGTGGTCCTTCTTACATTTGGATCCATATAACATGGTGGGCCTTATATTTATCATTTAAAATTTCCCCTGTGTCAAAGGGACCTTCCTATCACACAACTCATGAGGGTGTCCACTTTAACCAACTACACTCTCTCCCTTAAAGATCATGGAACCTAGATACTTTGAGGTCAAGATAAAAGCTTTTTTCTTGGACTTACCTATACTCCTTCACTATACTCCTTCACGGGGGAATTATTTAGATAAATGAGAATTATTGGTGATCATGAGAGAATTACCATTATTGAGGTCTTTAGGGATGGCAAAAAAACCCGAACCTGATGGGGAAACCCGAAACTCGATTATTTCGGGTCGGGTAATGGGTCGTTATCGGGTTTTTTATCGGGTTCGGGGCAGGGAGTGGGTTATCCTCGCCCCGACTATATATATATATATATATATATATATATATATATATATTTGAATCCTTTTGATGTTAATTGCATACATTCAAATATAAAATACTTACTGTGGACAATCTTTTTCGTTATTAACAATCTGGTGTGAATGATCATTTTTTATGTTTTGACGTATTACACTAAAATTAAATCAAATAATTTTTAATACAATGTCGAGTTAATTTTATTAAAGTGATTCATCATGTTTTTAATTTAAAGGGAGGCTAGAACACGTATATTTTATAAGACATCGGGTTACCCTAAAACAAAATAAAGATTTCGTTATGAATTGTTGTAAACCCGATAAGATACCCGAAACCCGACGGGAAAACCCGAACCCAACGGGGCGCCCCGATAAGATACCCGAAAGATATCGGGGCGGGTTTGGGAAACCACGCCCCGCCCCGAACCCGCCCCGTTGCCATTCCTAGAGGACTTAGAGTATCAATTCTAAAAGATATTATATTTATTTATTCATTAAATAAATAGATTATTTTGATGAGAGATATAAATACCTATGAGATAGCCATTTTTAGGGTTTTGAGGTTATAAAGAGAAAATTAGAAGATAGAACTTTGGTCTTGGTATTTTTGGTGAAATCATTGTGAGTTGCATAGATTTTCAGATTTGTCATCACAAAGGGTTGCTAAATCCATTGGAGATCACTTAATGGTATGGATTTAGATAGATATTGTTTGACTGTTTTCGAGACTCAAATACTTTATGTGAATATTTTTAAGATTCATAAAATTAGACGTGACAAATGTGTCGGGTTGAAACATTAAACGAGTCGAGGAGTTTGACTTAAATCTAACATTTTAATTATCATGTTGTGTCGTGTCAATCCGTTATTTTCGTGTCGGGTTAGTGAGTTTAGGGGTTAGACCTTGTAAATGGATCGTGTCCGGGTTGAAACACTAAACTTGTTGAAAGAGTAGGAGTTGGAGATGCAGAAAAGACAAAGTGAAATCGAAAAAGTAGGAGTTGGGAGGCGAAAGGGAGAAGTTCATAGGCGGCTAAGTCATTTTCATATTATAAAGCGACTAAATCCAAAGTTTTTCCTTTATATATAGTTTTGGTTTTGGTCCCATTAAATACATCTAAATAATTAAAAAGAAAATTGCATATAAATAAACAGACTTGAAAGACTAAACCCAAAGTTTTTCCTTTATATATAGTTTTGGTTTTGGTCCCATTAAATACATCTAAATAATTAAAAAGAAAATTGCATATAAATAAACAGACTATTTTCAAGTTGAATTATTCAACCCGAATCTTACTCGTTTAATTTTCGTGTCGTGTCATTCCGTTTAGTTAAACAAGTTGAAATAACCAAAACTCGTTTGTTTCATGTCGGGTAGTGTGTTGTGTGATTGTGTCAGTTTTTTCCACCTCTACATAAAACAAAGACCACAAAAATCTAATGAAAGATCATGAAATTCAAAGCTTATAAAAACCCCAATTTGCTTTTATCATTATGTATCATATGGATCAACAATTTTCACAAATCGAACACCGGAAAACATCATAATAAATAGAAAACATCACAATAAATAAACACGGAAGAAAATCTAAACAAATCTTATTAGGTATGCCATTTTTAGATTTTTATTAATAGCAACCGAAGCAGGTTATTTATAATGAGGGTGGTCTTGTGTAGATCCTACGAAAGGAGAAGTTCCCTATGGGTTAGTTTGGGAAGCTTAAGTTGCAAGTTAATGGCTCTCTCCATATACTCGAACAAATCAATGACAATACATATGCATATGAGATCAGCTTCCCAACCACTATAAAATGTCGACCACTTTCGACATGGTAAAATTATCATTGTACATAGGCGATGTGACGATGAAGAAGACTCGAGGTCGAGTCTTTCTCAAGTGGGGAGGATGATGCAAATTTATATAATTATGTCACAAATAATCTCTTGGGTAATTTTGTTGCAATTGCGTTAAGTTTCGAAATGACTCGAAACTAGCATGGTCATGTAACACCCGCTCTCAGGTACGCAGTTAAATTCAAGCCAAACTTCACATTTTACCCTTGGACTCGGCGAGTTGGAGGCCCGACTCGTCGAGTAGGATCGACTCCGGGTCGGGGGACTAAGTGGCCTACTCAACGAGTCGGAAGACCGACTCGGCGAGTAGGAGCTGTCCGAGTAAAACCCTAAATTGGAGGGTTTGCACTCTATTTAAACAACTTATGAGGCTTCCACCCCGGCCTCCATCACCCCAAGTCCTGTCCTCAAAACCCTAATCAATTGTGAGCATCTTTGAGTTATATTGTGCCTTTGCATCTTGATTTGAAGCTAGAAGAATGGAGGGAAGCTTGGTGAATCAAGGAGCAAGTCAGTGGATTCTGAGTTTGGTTGCATTTCCAGTGTATTTGAGGTAAATAGCCCCTATCTTGACCTCCTATGTGTTAGATCTAATTTGGGGTTTGAATCTTGGCATCTTTGAGGGCATTTCCATGTCATTTTGGACTTTAGGGTGTAATGTAGGGTAGAAGCTTCAGATTGGAACCTTGGAGGGTCCTCATGGCATAAAGGTGCCATCTCTATGGCCATGAGAACCCCATGCATGTAATAAACCCCATTTTTGGTCCTTTAAGCTTAAAATTCCCATGCATGCATGTAAAGTTCGTGACTTTACGTGTTATATCGGCCTTAAGAGCCCAGATCTACCTTTTGGATGAGCTTTGCACAACAGAAATCGAGTTATGGACTTGGACATAAGTAGACTCAGCGAGTCGGGGGGGGGGGGGGGGTTGGTTCTCCCATCTTCTATGTTTTGAAGGGATCCAGTTAAGTTTAGAAGGGATCTAGATGAGTCCAGAAGAAGGACTCAACGAAATAGACGTAGTTATGGACCTGGAAACCATGGGACTCGGCGAGTGGATGAACACACTCGGCGAGTCCAAGGCAATCCCCAACCCATGAAGACGGACTCGACGAGTTGTTCATACAACTTGGCGAGTCACAGACTAGTCACACTCTTATGGTGAAGATGAACTCGATGAGTTCAAGGATGAACTCGGCGAGCCAGATGAGGATAGTCCCGACGCTAGGTTTGAAGGAGAACTTGTCGAGTTCTTGCTAGACTCGACGCGTAGAGTTGGGGTTGGGAACAGATGAAAGAATAGAGACTCGACGAGTTGGTGAATCAACTCGGCGAGTCAGGTCAACTGGGTGTGGACTTTGACCAGGATGTTGACTTTAGCCAGGGGTAAAATGGTCATTTTACCCTAAGAGCAATTATCAGTTTTTGACTAAGTACCTTTATGGAAATTATAGTCGGAGAGTCGCCGGAGCAGCAGAAACAGAGATTCCTCACCCAGAGTTACAGCAGTCAGTCATACGAGGTGAGTTTCCTTCCAGTAGGAACGGGTTTACGGCCACAATGCCGGCCCGTTTAGATGATAGTAGTTCCGGACTTCGGTCCGATGCCGGGGTGGTCCCGAGAAGTAGTTATGTATGCTTGATGTATTCGTGATTCATGCATGTTATGATATGTGATATATGTTCCGGACTCCGGTCCGATGTTAGGCAAGCCCGATGCAGTATATGTGATTATGTTATATGTTATGTTTATGTTATGTTCAGCTTATACCGGACTTCGGTCCGATGCCGGGCGGGGCCTAATTTATGCCGGACTTCGGTCTGATGCCGGGCGGGGCCCGATGCAGTGGGCAAGGCCCAGTATGTGTTATATGTGTTATTGTATGGTATGTGTTAGTTTGGGGGAGCTCACTAAGTTTCGTGCTTACAGTTTTCAGTTTTGGTTTCAGGTACTTCCAGTAGCAAAGGGAAGGGCTCGGGTTGATCGCATGGCACACACCACAGTCACAGCCTGGGAGTTTACTTTGATGATTTGTTATGAGATCTTGATTTGAGATAGACACTATGATGTTTTATGATACATGAATTATGATTTTACTTATGACTTGAATGATTTATAATTTTAATTATGATTTGAAAACAAAAAATTTTGGGTCATATTTTCGGGATGTTTCAGGTCAACTCTAAATATACTTTTCGACCCTTTGCAATTGTTAATGGGCCGAAATTATCGTGTTTTAATTTTCATTTTATAAAACCATCTCCAACTCTAAACCATTTTTGACATTAAAATGATGTAAAAATGATGCTAATAATATTTCATCTTCAACCCTACGTCATTTTCTACGCTATATTTTAAACCAAAAAAATTCTCCCATAATAATCTTTTTTTTAAACTTATATAGATTTGTCAAACACACCCTTGAGCTAATTAGTTCTTAACATATTTATGTACATATTTAGTTTGAAAAAAAATTTATAAAATGTATTTATTACAAAATTATAACCAAATTAAATATTTATATATTATCCATTCGAATTAGATGTTATTTTAATAAAATAACATTTGTTAATTAAAAAAGTTACATAAATTTAAAACTAAGGTTTATATTTATGACTAATTAACAATTTAATATATAACATAAATTTAGATTATCTTTTACAAGTATTATATATATCAAATTAGAATGTGGAAATGCATAATATACTTTTTGTCTTTGGTCACGGTAGTATTTTGGAATTTTGTTTAAAATGTACAAAATAAATTACAAAATTGCTTCTATAATTTAGAGAAAAGGTACTTATGTGTTTTATTTTATTTTATTTTATTTTTATTAAAGTAGTCCATATATGTAAGATTTTCATTTGATGTATGTGTACAAAATAAATTATAAAAACCATTCTTATTATTTGTAGAAAATGTCCGTGTACATTTTTTATTTATATATTTATTGCATAAATGATCCATATATTTATAAAATTTATAGATTACGTTTAAAAAAATTACAAAAATAATCCCTATCTAATAGAATATTTGCATATTACCACCCCCCGGCTGCACGCCCCCTCCACTATAATATATTGTTGTATTTCGTCCCTACACTTTTTGCTTTCATGTTTTGGCCACAGATTTTGGCAGTTTTAGTCCTTATGTACAAACTAAATTAAAAAAATCAGTCCCTATACTTTATAGAAAAGGTCCATGTGAAGAATATTTTTTTTTTCAGAAATGGTTCATATGTTTAAGACTTTCGTATGTTGGTATATATGGTCCCTATGTTGAAAATAAATTACAAAAATTGTCCCTATAATTTATTGAAAAGGTCCCTACGCTTTTTTTTTGAAACAGCCATATGTTTATATAATTTACAGACTATGTTTTAAAAAATGCAAAAATAGTCCCTACCTAATAAAGTATTTGCAGATTATGCCTTCTGTGCCCCCGCAACATATTGCCATGTTTCGTCCCTATACTTTTTTGGTTTCACACTCTAGCCACATAACTTTTGTATGCTTGCAAGTTTGCTCTCTACACTGTAACGACCAAAATTTCACAATAGTCAACCATGGTCAAATATAAAGACCCAACTGGTAGTAAGAAGACTCACCTCCCAAATAGCAGCTAGAAACACAACAGCTCTCACACACAGGGTAGATATGATCAACATGACACCTAACAACAGTAAAGTCATACCCTATCAGCCTACATCCTTAAAACCCTAGTTTGATCCAAAAGTCAACCATGGTCAACTTCAGCCAATGGTCATGTTGTGACCACTCATAGGTCACGTCGTAATCGAACCAGGATAAAAATAATCGTGAACGCTCTCTTCTTACGATGTGACATGCCCTTTCTCACATCGTGAGATCCGTTCTGAACAGCTTTGAACATTAAGCTCTTAATCCCTTAAGCTACTCCTTGAGACTTTCCAAAGGGTCTTCCTCAACCTTAAGGACCATAAAAATCATGCATGACTCAAACACTAACTAGGTCAATAAGGAGAAAACGAGGCCAAGACTCATGCTTGGAGTCTAAAACCAACACCAAACCTCAGATCTGAAACTTATACTACAGAAAAGGCCTCAATGATCTATAAAGTTTCTAACCTTATGGATCTCATGCATGCTATCCACCCCACCATGAAGAGAAAAGAACAAATCTTAGATCTAGCATGCAATAGAGATAAAGGTAAGAGCTTTAGGACTTACAAGAGTCCAAAAGCACAGAAAGATGTTGAGGAAGGAACTTACTTGCCACAAGTGATGCACCCAAGGAGTCTTCTTCTTTTTTTAAGAGCCAAAACCACCAAAAAGCTCTCCAAGGTCACCAATAGATGCTAAAATCGATTTGGGCAGGAAATGATGGAGGCTGAGGGTTTCACATTTCCTTTAAATAGGGTGCAAAACACGGGAGTAGGGTTAGCCTGCTCTCACGACGTGAGCACCTATGTGTCATGTTGTGACCCTCAAGGAGAGATACACGATTCATCCGAATGTCACGTCGTGAGACACTTTCTCTCATGTCGTGACCAACTATAAAATGAGGTTTATCATTCTTTATTAATTTCAAAACATTGAAAGATCAAGTACCAACATTTAGATGTTACATACACTTTCGTAGTTATGCAAGTTTGGTCCCCTGCGAAGCAGGGGATAGTAACTTACTAGTTGTAATTAATTGATATCAAGTAAATATATAATTAAAGTTGAATAAACATATAAGAAGATAGAATAAGAGTGACACATGAAAGTTTTGCACCATTTTAATGCAAATAAATCATATAACACCAAATTTGGTGTTATATTATTCTTGTACACCAAAATGGCGTGTGAAATAGAGTGGTGTTAGAGATGACTTCACACCAAAATGGTGTAAAAAATGAGTTTTGGTGTAGGGCTTTAGATGCCCTAAAAGCATCTCTAATAGGAGGTTTTTTTATAGCTTATTACTATACATTTTTTTTTATTAGCACTTAATACTATTGGACTAGATAACTTATTTACTTTTTTATTTTAACATTCAATATATATTGAGTGATCAATATACTTTACTACTTGTACATAATAACCCTCTGTACTTTAACCATATTTCATTTTAACCCTTTAATTATAAGTTAGTTTTAGATATTTTTATTTCTTTACTAATTAATTATTTTATTAAATATTTAATGACATCTCATTATAAAATATAAATTTTATAAAGATAATACAATATTTTCAATATTTTTTGTAATTATGACATAATATTTTTTCCGTATTTTAGGTATATAAATATTAAATAATAAACGGATATATCTACAAATGTATCTCTATACATTTTCACTCTTTGATTTCAAGTTCATATTTCCTTTGTTGTTATTTGAATCATAATCAAATCAATGATTCGTTTGCTTTTTATTATAATTTGGATCCTGAAGAGCCTATGATTCCTCCTTCCCCATTTGGGACCCGTTCAGATCCCCCATTTTTGAATCTCTAGGGTTTTCTTTTTCCTTCCTTCTTCTGAACAAGAAACTATATGATTAGTCTTAAACTAACGATATGATAATTGCATTGTGGTTTGTTCAATGCAATGATCTTATCACTTGCTTAAGACTATTTTGGTACCTAATAACATTTTCCAAGATGAAATTTAAGTAGCATTCCTTTCTTGCAACGATACAGAAAGCATACATGGACAACAATTCATGCAGAGAGTTAATCATTTCAAGAGCTACAAGGATAAAACAATGAAGGTTATTTATTTATTTATTTCTATCCAATATAAATAAATTCCTCCTACATTAAACCCTACTTGTCTCTAGAAAATCAATAAGAAGAAAATGCAATCTGCAATCAAGCACTAGTATTTACAAAGTACAATAAGACAACAATTTTTCAACCCAAAATTTGCAATTCTTTTAAGAAGACGAGACACGGTTTCATTCTCGATCTTTCACTTGTGCAAAAGACGTAAATGCCCTTCTCATCCTCATCATCTGAAATACCTTTATCCAGTCCAATCCAGTTCAGTCCAGTCAGTGTTACCAATTAAGCAGCAGGTGGCCTGAGCTCATGATCATGAGATGTATCTTGTGCAGATTGTGGTAAATATTGCCACATTGGAATGTAACCATAGCCTGGAAAAACAGGCATCTTGTTTGCTGGATGAGGTGTCATGAATCCATGAGGTGTATGATTGGTCAACGCTTTGACCTGTTGTTCCATTTTTGCTTTTTCTGCCTTTAAAACAAGTTTCTCTTCACGAAGTTCATTCTTTTCTGCCTGTTGGTTTTATCAAGTCATAACATTTAAAGATCTCTAGAGAATTTAATTAAAAAAAGAAAAAAAAAAATTTGAACTAACCTTTAATGTCTTAATCTCTTCCAATAATTTCTCATTCATCTCTTTGCATTCCTGAGATTCAGATTTTAGCTGATTCAGAACTCGGATTGCATCTCCAAGTATTGCTAACTTATCATTGGTGACAGGTCTCCCAGGTTCTAAAGTAGAGCTCAATTCTAAAAACCTGAAAAGATAAATAATTATATTTAATCAAACAACAAAAATGAAGAATTTTATTATTGCTAAATGATATAATTCATAAAGAAAAAACCTGTCATTCAATTTCTCCCTCCTTTGCCTCTCACGGCATGCTTTATTCTCTGCCCTGCTGCACGAATTACTTCTTCCCCTGTTATGTAATTGAATATTATGAAGTTTCATTGTCAAAATATGTCTGAAATCTCACTCTTTTTTAACATATTTTTGTAATCACATTGATATATGGATCTTTTATCAAACTATATTGAAATGAAAAGAGTAAAACCTCTTTTTTGTGCATTCTTTTTCAGCACACTCATCTAATGGTGCAAGGCTAGCAAGTGGAGCATCAACGGGGATTGCAGCGCTGCATTCAAAAGCCAAATTTTTAAATCAAACAAATTTTATTTCGAATCCATGGAAAAGATTCACAACTCAACTTAATTGTTCTTGTAAACTCATAAACATATGTTTTGCCCTAATTCTAGCTAAGAACAGCAAAACTTAGCCATATAACAACAAAGATCTTACTCTTCGTGAATTAGTTCGTGAAAATCTAACACCTATGAAATCAGCAACATTTCTACCATAAAATCCGAAATCATTTACGAAAATCTTTAAATCCTAATTGATTTTTCACAATAGATAGAACCAGAAACTATTAAAATCAAAATCTATAGAGAGAGGGGAAAAAAGCAGTTAGTTACCTCTGGTCACCCCAATAAAGATCGGTGGATGCGACATCGTTGATGAGACTGCTGTAATCGATTAGATCCCAATTAGTACTCTCGAAAGAATCCATTTAATTTTGATTTCGAGAGAAACCACTGATTCTTAAACCGAAACCCTAGATTGAATGTTTCTGTTTCAGTCTTCGATCCGACACCAAAGATCTGATCTGATTGCTTTGGATAAATTAATCAACAAAATTATTATTATTATTGATATTATTATAAGTTTTTAACGATAGAAAATAATTGATTGACGCTGTTACTGTTATCAATAATGGCGTCAAAGTGTACAAAAGGATTGGTCAGTACCCAATTATGGTTTGCCACGTGAAACATTGTTATCTTTCGCCGCATAAAGATATTGTAGTGGTGGGTGAGCATAAGCGGGTACCCGCTTTAATTGTCTGGAACCGGAACCGGAACCGGAACCGGCGGTTCTTGGAATGTAGGAACCGGAACCGGAACCGATTACAACGGTTTTTCAGATTTTGGAACCGGTCCCGGAACCGGTTCCGGTACCGGGTACCCGGTTGTTTTTTATATTTTTTATAAAAATTGACAATTACGACGTAAATAAAAAAACTATTAAATGTTATAAACATTGACGATGAAAACTTTAATTTACAAAGAAAGATAAGCAAAAGTTTGAGGTAATTCAAACAAACAGAATATATATGTAAACGTTTTACAAACTAATAAAAAAAGAAGACAAAGAAACAGTGATTCGAATTTGATAGCAAAAAAAATATTTAAAAGTTCTGTGATTCAATGTTCAAATTAAAAGACAGGATATTAAATATCCAAATTTCCACTCCAATTAGTTCGTAACTTATTATATGTTATAAAGGCTTAACATGCTAATGAGTTTCATGCAATTTCGTTTTTAGAGGTGCAGAATGCAAATTAACACATCAGTTTTAATGTATGGCAATGTCTAATTGTAGTCAAGAATGAACAATTCATCCTTTATATATATATATATATATATATATATAATATATATATATATATATATATATATATATATATATATATATATATATAATATATATATAAACCGGTTCCGTCGGGTACCCGGCGGGTAGCGGTTCCGAAAAAATAAAAACCGGAACCGGAACCGCTTATGGCGGTTCCACAATTTTAGGAACCGGAACCGGAACCGCTTATGGCGGTTCCACAATTTTAGGAATCGGAACCGCTTAAGGCGGTTCCGGTTCCAGAACTGGCGGTTCCGATACGGTTCCGATGCGGTTCCAAAAGCGGGTACCTTGTTCCGGTGCTCACCCCTAGTCTAAATCGGCTTACACATAGAATTCCTAAAAAAAAAGAACATAAACAAATCTAACCATTTTTTTTATTAATCTGCTAAAAAAGATTAAAATCTTGTTTATTCCTTAAAACAACCACATATTTCATAGGAGATTTACTGCAGTCTGCAAATGTGTGGACGTTGCGAAATACATTGTATTTTCCACCTTTTTAGTCTCCCCACTCTATTTTCCATTCCTAGATAGGGCCCTAATGTAAAACCCAATGTGAAATGTGTGGAATTGGCAATCTTCTTTATAAAAGATAGGATTTAGTCTTCACATCATCACACAAATATCTAGGAACAATTCAAAGAACTTTTTTTTCATCCCAAATGAGTTTATGGAATGGCTTTTTTGTGGTTCTTTGTTGATTCCTGAATTTTAAAAAGAATTACAGAGAGAAGAATGATGAACTGTTTAAACTGAATTCATTGAAAGAAAGTATTACAGCTATCAAACGTATATACATGAACAACTCTCAAAACAGAAAAACTAACTAACTGATTGTCTAACTGAATAACTAACTTAGATGGCGTGTACTAGTCTGATGTGGCAATCCGTGTGTAGCTTTCATAATTAACAACATCCCCCCTCAAGTTGGAGGGTGAGAAACTCCCAACTTGCTTAAAAGTCCGTAATGATATTTACTTGACAAATTTTTAGTAAACAGATCAGCTAATTGCATTTGAGTTGACACATATTGTAAAGAAATTAATCCATCTTGAAGCTTCTCCCTCACAAAATGACAATCTAACTCCACGTGTTTGGTTCACTCATGAAAGACGGGATTTTTAGCAATGCAAATAGTCGCTTGGTTATCATATTTCACAGGAATTGGAGTGACATTGGGAACATTCATTTCATGTAGAATTCTTGATAACCATGCCAACTCAGCACTAACCCTCCTCATACTCCAGTACTCTGCTTCAGCAGAGGACAATGACATTGTCATTTGCTTCTTAGACTTCCAAGAGATCGGGCTTCCACCAAGTAAAATAAAAAACCCACTAATACTCCTTGATTGGGGACAAGCAGCCCCAATCAGAATCACAAAAAGCTTGTAGATTGAAATCGTCCTTGTTATTAAAAAATAGACCTTGATTAGAATCATTATTGATGTATTTGAGAGTATGCATTGCAGCCTCAAAATGTGGTAATTTGGGATTCGACATGAACTGGCTAAGATGTTGCATAGTAAAGGCTAAATCAGGTCGTGTATGACTGAGGAAAATTGAGTTTACCCACAAGACGACGATAAACTTCAGGAATTGGTAAAGGTTCCCCCTCATTTATTAAGAGTTTGAGATTTGATGGAAGAGGACAAATAGATTTCCCATAACATTTGAATTCCTCTGTGTCAAAATTACTCCTGAAGAAGAATAAAGAACCTTAATTCCTAAAAAAAAAATTAAGATGTCCCAAGTCTTTGATCTTGAATTGAGAGTCAAGGAAAGCTTTTAAACGACTTATTTCTTCTTCATTATTTCCTGTAACCATGATGTCGTCAACATATACAACTACAAACGTGACATAAGATCCCGTTGTTTTGTGAAACAAAGAATAATCGTCTTTGGAGTGTTGATACCCTTTATCTTTCAAAGCTGATGACACTTTAGAGTACCATTGACGTGAGGCTTGCTTGAGACCATATAACGACTTTTGCAACTTACAAACTTGATTTTTGTTCTGTAAAATAAGACCAGGTGGAGGTTTCATGTAAATTTCTTCTTCCAAATCCCCGTGCAGGAAGGCGTTGTTAACATCCAATTGATGCATGTTCCAACCATTTTTGACAGCAGTGGCAATAAGAGCACGAATTGTTGTCATTTTAACAACAGGGGACTATGTTTCCGTGTAGTCAATTCCAGCCTTTTGGGTATAACCCTTTACAACTGATCTCCCTTTGCATCGTTCCACTTGCCCATCTGCTCTATATTTGACCTTATAAACCCATTTACAACTTATGGGTTTCTTTCCTTTTGGTAAATTTGTGATGATCCAAGTATTATTTGCAATTAAAGCCTCAAATTCTTTATCCATGGCTTCTTTCCATTCTGGAATATTGACAGCCTCTTCATAAGATGAAAGTTCATGTAATTGATCAAGATTCTTCATTAACTGCTTACTTTGATCATACAAGGTTGAAAAACAAACATGATTATTGGAGGGCATTGAAGTCATAGTATGCATACATAAGGATAAATTTGCACAATGATAACCTTGTAAATATGCAGGAGGTTTAGGTACTCTTGATGTTCTTCTAAGATTAGATTGTTGTTGTTGTGATGAATTGGGTAATGGGACAAAATTTGGATCAGGGGCAAAATTGGTAAATGGGATAGAATTAGGGATGAGATTTAGAACCGGAAAACCAGACCGGAACCGGAATCGGACCGGAACTGGAATCGTTAGAACCGGAATATATAGAACCGGTTCCGGTTCCGGGTTTAAAAAATTGGCTTTATCCGGGTTCTGGGTAATCCGGGTTTGGGTCCATCGGGTCCGGGTAAACCGGGTCTAAAAACCGGAACCGGTGTTTGGAACCATAACCACTTTTAGGGCCGGAACCGGTATTTGTGAAACGTTTAAAAGATGCATATCTCATTCGTTTCAACTCCGATTGACATGCGGTTTTTTCCAACATATAGTTTAGAGTTTGTACATTACTTTAGACTATAAATTTGCCATTTTTAGTTTTATATTCATTGACTTACAGTCCCCCAAAGTCGAGATATCAAAGATGGAAGTTTTTAGTGTTTCAGTTTTTTTGTATTCGGTGAAAGTTTTAAAACATGCATATCTAATTCGTTTGAAGTTGGATTAACATGTGGTTTTTTCCAACTTGTGGTTTATAGTTTGTACATGAGTTTAGACTTTAATTTTGTCATTTTTGGTTTAACATCCAATGATTTAAAGTCCTCCGAAGTTGGGATATCAAAACTAAAAATTTTCAACTTTTCAGCTATTTGTTTTTGTACTTTGTATTATGTGAAAATGTTAATACATGCATATCTCATTCGTTTAAAGTCAAATTGACATGCGGTTTTTTCCGGAGTGTATTTTAGAGTTTGTACATGATTATAGTCTATAATTTTGTTAATTTTGGTTTCATATTCAATGAGTTACAGTACCCCAAAGTCGGGATATCAATATGAAAATTTTCAAAGTTCAACCCACTAAGTAGTAAGTAATTACCAAAAAATTCCGGTTTTTTCGGTTCTAAACCCACTTTATCCGGTTCCAACCTACCCACTTTGATGTTTCCGGGTTTTCCGGTTCTAGACCCACTTTACCCGGAACCGTACCCGGAGCCGAACCGGAACCGGTTCCTATATACCGATTCGATTTCCGGTTCTACAAAATCCCGTTAACCGGTTCCGGGTTTTCCGGGTCCGAGTCCATCCGGTCCGGATTTGGACCCAATTTCATCCCTAGATAGAATTATGTGAAGTTGTACTTGGTGGAAAATGAGGTGAAGGATTTGAAGATGGAAAAGAATAAGAGAAAGGTGAGGATTGATTATCATTGAAATCCAATATTTCTTGAACAGGAAACATTGGAATGGAATTGGGTTGCATATACTGGAATGGAAAGATTCTTTCATGGAAATATACATCTCTGGAAATGACAACCTTTTTAGTGTCTAGATTGTAGAGTTTGTATGTTTTCTTTCCAAATGGGTAGCCTATAAAGACACGGGGAGAGGCACGAGGGGTAAATTTGTCCTGATTTTCTTTAAGAGTATTCATGAAGCATAAACACCCAAATGCTTTCATACGAGAGTATGATAATTCCACACCATTTAATCAAAAAAATGGTGTTTCACCATTTAACAATTTTGTTGGGAATCTATTTATAAGATATGTTGCTGTTAGAACACATTCTCCCCAGAAAATGGTAGGAAGATTTGATTGAAACA